GAAGGAAGGAAGGAAGGAAGGAAGGAAGGAAGGAAGGAAGGAAGGAAATATTACATACCGCCATGTTCCTTGTCTGTCAAATCTATGTCCTCCAATGACGAAATTACTGAATCCTTCTCCTTTTGGGGAGTATGCTCCGCATTTTGATGGATGCAATCCTCCATGTCTTTTTCAGGTGTTTTACTGTACCTAGTCCACCATGTTAATCTGGCAAGCTGAATAATTGCAAATTAGAAACAAGAAAATAAAAGTTACAGAGCCATTTCAGTCTGATGGTTTGACAAGAAAGAACAGTAATTATGTGACTATAATTTTGCACAGAGAGGATATACTGGCTTTCTGGATGCTTAAGCACAATCTTATATAATTCTACTGAGTTATAAATCCCATTGAAGTAACTGTCCCTCAAAATCAAATAAATGTAAACTTGTATCTTAGAAAAAGCCATATATATCACATTTCTTATGCAAAAATGGGCCCCAATCAAACATTGCCTGTAGTTTAAACTCAGGCACACAGAATGAGGTATCTTAAATTTTATTCATGCTAAACAAGAGGGGAATATAACATGCAAGAATAGTTGAAACTATGCTGTATAGCTTTTCAATAGCATATAACTTTGTAATTTGTTTGGAATGTACTGTATATTTATTTAAAGCTTTATCTTGATATATGCATTGGAAACTATTTCTAAAGCTAAGCTATTTCTTTACCTTTCCTTTCTTGGCATTTCTATAGTTTCTAAAATTACTGCTGTAGTCTTTTTATTTTATTGGCTGGCCAGACATCCTTCTTCTATCTATTCTTTGCTTCAGATTTGCTTCCTCCCAAAGCTGCTTCTATAAAAATATATGGCTAGTGTGGGAACGCTACATAAAAAGAAACTCTCAAAAGGTGCCTTATAAAAGAAGATTAGTTTAAATAGTTCAAATTTCAGGCATAAAATGTAGAAGGAGGTTTCCAGTTGTCACAAAAATCTGTATAATCTTCACATATTTATTGTTTTAAATAGAATAGAATAGAATAGAATAGAATAGAATAGAA